CCCCCCCTAATTAAATGTAATTATTTTAACTTCTGTTAAATGCCTTTTCTTAACTTTGGTCGCTCACACAATAACTAAAATGCACAATGTATTTAGAGTAGCAAATATTCATACTGAGTGTCAGACAATAGCTATTAGCCTAGCTGTGGGTCTTTCTGCCAGCGTACAGAAACCTGGCTTTACTGAGTCTCCCGTTGCCTTCCTGACGGGGAAGTTGGACTCAAAGATCAGAACTCAAGCATACAGCTCACCCTGACGCAGGTATGCTGTGCATGCACTATGCAAAGCTACCCCAGACAACACCACTCTCTTCTACTAGAGGTTATCAAACTAGTGTGCCAGAAGAATGGGTTGCATGAATATGGTTTAAACTGACTGAGCTTGAACTTGCCAAATTAGGAGAGAATTCTTCCTTAAATGGTAGCTTTTGCTAATATTCTCTTTCTTTACATCTAGCAGGCATCCCGAAGCAATGCTGCTGGGAATGCTAATTTCCAGCTCACTAGCAAGGACAACCAATAAAAGTTTTGAAGCAGGACAGTTAGATCTGGAACAGAATGTACGTGGCCTGTTTTCTTATATGAACATTCCTACTATAGCTTCAGAATATTCATGATCGGATTAATTTATACTCCTCCCAAGACAGTATAAAGTAACCCACAGAAAGCATTCATACACAAATAGGAATGACTGATACAGGTCACTTATAAGTGGTTAGAGAAAGAAGTTTAAATTCTCAGCCTTGTTCGTAACAGCACAGAATTTTGCACAGAGAAACCCTACAATCACCACAGGTGGCTGGAAGTTAAGAGATCAGCTGCCTTCTAGAAGATGAGTGTCAAAAGAAACACATCATTTTTCCCCTTTAAAACATATCGCATTCAGCACTCAATGGACATTTCTGGAATACTTGTTGGGAAAGATGACCATAACCACTGTACTTGCAAGCAGAACGCTGACATGTAATAGTCAACAAAATGGAAACCTTTCCCCCCCTCAGAAGGCAATTAAAAAAGAGCTTTTCTGCCCTTAGTCAAGTTTTCTGTGTTCAAAAATTAATGACATATATCTGAATCCCGTCTTCAACCTCACACTGACTTTTGGGAGACAGAGTGATCTTGCTGATCACTAGCAGCAGTGCGAGCTCTTCCTTCGCTGAGAAGTTTCACTGAACATTTTCTCCAGCTAAAACAATATTATGCATTAACTAAGAACTCTAAATTAAAACTCTTTTTTTTTTTAACCCTTCAGAATAGCTATTTATGGCTTACAACATGGACTTTCAGGAATTTTGTCTGAAAGAGAATGCCAGACTTCAGAAAAATTAGCTCTCTACATTTAATTAATTACATGAAAAGCTGGATAATCATAAATCTGCAGATCCTTGTCATCTGTATACAAGATGTAGAAATCATCTTATTCCATACTGCTAGAGACCAAAATGTGTTTTACTACACCGGTTTGTGCAATCCACTATTGATAATAGCAACATATGGCCAAACTTTATTTAAAAAAAATAAACAAACCGCCTACCCTTGGTGATTTTTGAATGTCTCTACTTTTAGATGACCAAACTGTAATGCATGAAAAAGCCAACTTTTGAAAAATCAGTTTAAAATATATTTCAAGTTAGACATCCAAAAAAAAAAAAAGAGGTAGACATTTATAAAAGTCTTAGTCAAATTATTTCCTTAGACTTCAAAGAGTTAAGTAATGAATGTTTCTAAGGAATGAAAACAGAATCTATCAGGTTTGATTGATAAAAGTGTAGCTTTTAACTAAGACTGAAAAAACTGAAGACTGGCAACATTTTTTCCAGAATAATATGCTTCCTCTGCTTTTTTTCAGCATAGTGCACATAAATCAAAGAAATGTTAAAAAGGCCCATATATCACAAGCTGGCATTTCTAAACTATTTATAAAATCTGTAATAGTCAAGAGGATGGAAAATATAGAAGTGTGACCATAAAAGTTACTGAAAGAAAAAAAGGCAGTTCTACCATCCCAGCAGGGTTAATTAAGGTTGGAAACAACACTTGATTGTAGAATTTAAAAATACTAAACTAAAACAATCCTGATAATGCAGGGTTACAAAAAGCAAACATGACAGTGTATCAGCCAAAACAGAGAGAAGGTGGATGTGAGCAACATGTTTATTCCACTATTAAGCACACTATTCTGAAAACAGAAAAAACAAATGCTCTAATAAGGCTTGAAGTACATACAAAAGCAGGGCCGAGTTTGCATCTGCAAAAAGACAGCCACAAAAATATCACTAACTCCAGTGCTTAGCTGCATATCCATCAAATTTTCACACCCCAACATCTAAGCATACAACAGACTTATACAGATGAGGTTTTCCTCAACAACTTTTACAAATGAGAATCTCATCTCCTCTTCTGAAAGGAAAGACATGGATTATGGAACGTTTATGGGTCCATCTGTTGAAGATGTCACACTGACTAGAGAGTGCAAAAAAGCACAAAGATGTTTTACAACCAAATCCAAAACTTACTGTAGTCTGAACTAGTGTAAAAGCCATATGCTTTGCAAAAACACCTCTTTTGCTACACGTTTTTTTACCACAGCACAAAGAGTAACAGTTCAAAAGCTGCAGCAGCCTTTATTTCCGAAAATAGATCACATATTCTTACTCTCATCTGCCACACTCAACTAACTGATCAGAAACCAGAAAGACAAGGAAATACTACACTGTGAAATGAAAGCTAAGACAGACATACTCCATTGCAAGAAGCTACCCACGGTTTACAGGTAAAGCAGCAGCTCAGAGAGCCCGAGACCAGGAACCAGATGATGCGCTGAACAGAAGGGTTTGGTGGAACAGCACGTAAAGCGGTTTTACAGTTTGCTCTGTCAGTGTTGAAGACTTCCAGTAGGAGTATTTCAGATGAAGTCAGGGGACCTCAGAAATATCTCGGAGTAAAACAAATGGAACACACTTCATATTATTTTCATGGGAGCTTATAATGATATTATAATTAATTCAATTACACCACAAGATTAATAGCCTTTAAAATGCTCCCAGTCATTCATTACAGGCCTAATTACAACTCTCTTTTGGTGCTGAGCCAGCAAGAAATATCAAACTACTTGCTAACTAACCCTATATAAGTATATATGGTATTATCTTTATCATGCTGTTTGTTTCCATGTTCACAATTCAGTGAGCAGTTTGGGTGGGTTGTTGGGTTTTTTTAATAATATCAAAGACAACAAGAAAAATGGACAAGATGCCACTGTAGAGGCTTCAACACCTGCAACAGCACTTC